AGAGCTATTGACGATGATTGGGCGACACATGCAGGCCTAGTAAACCACTAATACAAACGCTGCAAATTATCAGTAATAACAAGAGATCATTTCAGGTGTCTTGTGTCAGTCTCCACTGTCCTTCAGATGCTGATACCGAAACCAGAATTCTAGGTAAGATTTAACAGCAAATAAACCAAAACATTTCAAGATGTAGTCACTGAGTGGCAGAGAACGGTTAACTCAAATCATGAAACTTCCATGACTGGAAACTAGCTGACCACCACACGTCTATGCAATTAGAGTATTGAAATATTCTGACTCACTAAAATAATTCAGCACAGATAACCAGACTTCATTTCCGTGTTTTTTGCCCGGCCATTTGGATTGCAAGGATTTTTTTAACTAATGTCAATAAAACTCTGGAAACCCATTCGTATTCCTTACCGTTACCCGAATGGGAGTAGGTTTTTTAAGAACCTCGATTATCAGAAGCCTGCCTAAGAATCACAGGCGCTAATTAATACGTTTCGCCTCTCACTTATGATAGACAGAAAGGATAAGACCAATACATCCGGCTGCTTTTCGCAGTAAAAGCATTATCCCAATAAATAGTAGATACCATGTTGCAGGTTATTTTAGGTGCAGCAGCCCATGAAGATGAGATCATAATCATGAGAGCCGACATAATGTACTTAAAAGAGAAACTTGATCTGGTACTAACTGGGATATTTGACCTTAGTTTCCGTTCAGTTGAGCATGAATTTTGTGTAAGTCTGGTTGGCCATGATGGGACTTTTCTTCTCAATATATACCTCTTACGAGCTCTGCTAAATCATATACTGATGAAGAACACAAAATGAAATTGATAGACATGCTGTCAAACAGCTTTTGAAAAAACCAATCAACTCCAGCCTCCAGCCATCTTCTTACAAATTTTGACCCTTCCTTATCAACTGTGGTTGCTTCAGATGCTTCATATTATGGTATTAAGGTGGTTATCTCTTATATCCTTCCTCATGAATCTGAAAAACTCATCTTGTATGCTGTCACATCGTAAACAGTTACAGAATGTAACTACAGTCTAACTGAAAAGGAAGCAATTTCAACTCATTTTACAGTGAAGACCTCCAATAAAACGATATTTGAATGCCAACTTCCTGTGTTAACTGGTCACAACACAATACTTACTGACGCCTGCTACCATTAATAAAACATAAGCCGCCGACCAGCATTCTCCAGCCTACTATTCTCAGAGTTCACCATTCTAGTTGTTCCCAAGTGTTACTCATTTTTTAACGGGTCTCCAATTCAAAGCGCACTGTATTCCTTGATCTACTTCTTCTCCTGTGACCTTAAGGATTTCAGGTTAGGTCCTGAAAGTGAAGTTGAGCAATTTTCGCAGTGTCGTATCCATCTCCAGCACATTTACCCGATTTATTCTTCAGCTGAAACCTGGTTTGTTCTCTCTTTCCACAAAACATAGTTAGCTGTTTTTTGCCCGAATTAAGAGATTCTTGTTTATGAAACCAAAAGACTGAGGAGATTGGCAACCCCTCATACATCCTATGGTTCAAAGATAGACATTCAGTCTACTACTGACTTTAAACAAGTAGACGCCCTGTCAGGATTGACTAGTTTACGAACGAAACTTAAAGATTCACTAGTGGCAGTAATTGAAACTGAAACGGGAGTTCGTCTAGTGTTAGATCACGCAGCTGATGGACTACCAGTTAACTTCAGAGGTATCAAAGAAGTCTTGGAGAGAGACAAGTTATTAGGAAAGTTAAAGGTATTCACCTCAACAAATTGCTGGAGCGTCGTTTTCATGAAGACCTTTTATGTTACTTTCATCCCTGTGACTCACTGACGGTCGTCGAATTATTTTTCCGGAATAATTGCGGCAAAAATGTCTCAAGTAATTTCACAGAGATTACCTCGGGATTATTAGTATGAAATAGTTGGTTCGAAGTTACGCTCACAGGTCTTTAATAGACAGAGATATCGAAGACAAATGACATGATTGTTCGTCTTGCTTTTAAGCCGCCTAAAGCTCTTCGAAATGTGAACCACAGCCTGTCAGACCCTTGATAAGGCTTGATGCAGATTTCGCAGATCCAGACCAAGGATAAATGTTTTTAGTTACTGTGGATGCATCTACAAAGTTGCGGGAAATATTTATTATGCCGAATTTCACAGACGAATAAAGGTTCAGCAAGTTATCTACAAGTTGTGATATATATATATATATATATATATATATATATATATATATATATATATAACCATAATCATCCGCCTGAGCTACAGATTTTCGCCATCTCAGTATATGTATATATGCATATAACGGTTAAATCATGATAATGTAACTTCAACTTTTCATTCAATTCTATTGATTTCTATTTTTTTTTTGACTATTTTTTTTCAGTAAATATTTTATTAACGTTAATCGCTATAAATGATTAAAATGTCTTTAATCTTTGTGCAAAAAAAAAAAACAAAATATCAAAAATACACTGAGTACGAACTTTCATTTTCTAAGTAGACTAATTAGTTATTTCTTCATTGTAAAGTATTATATAATTTATTGTTCATTATGAAAATCGACAAACAGAATCGATTTGTATATTAGTTCAATGCTCAACTGGGATAAAAGTTGGAGTTTTACTTTTGACTGTCTGTAATTAGTTGCCTTTTCATATTATTAATTGTTAGTTATCGCTTGGAACTGAATACTAGACTTCAGTTATGCTTTACAGATTATGAGATGATATAATACACGTACTTTTGAATCATGTTAAATTCGTCCATAATTTGCAATTTTTCCCATGAACAATGATGTGTATATGGTTGAAATAAGTATGGTTTTAGAATGACTCTGTATAAAAGTTCAGTTCAGTTGGTCAGTTGTTAAACGTGGAATATTAAATATGTCAGTATGTATTAAATATATTATTTATCTTTCTGTCACAGTTTACGATAGGTAACTGATATAATCCAATCATTAGGCTGTGTACTAGGTTGATACGCGCTGGATAATTTTATGCCGCATACAAGGATCTCATATATATATATATATATATATATATATATATATATATATATATATATATATATATATATATATATATATATATATATATATATATATATATATATATATATATAGAACCACAGAGAGTGTGGATTAGACCATACATTATTCACTATAATTAGAAACATTCAAGACTCGGTGAGTGCGAAGCAGAAATAAATAATGAGAAAGAAATATCTTAATTAGTTGTCAGTAAGCGGTAAGTCCTTCTTGGCATATTCAGTCGATAATCACATTTTATTTTCTCTAGCTATCACAATCGAATTTGTTTGTTTACGCTAAAAAACATTTTCATACAGAGTTTAATATGCATAAACTCATACTCAAAAAATTTCTGATCACTAATATTAAATTTTGACAAAAGAAATTCTGCACCAACTATTATAACACAAAATGATATCTTAATTATTTGTAGTATATACTTGATTAGCTTTGGAAAGAAATTGAGTAACACAAGTACACTCAGAACACAGTAACAATTTAGACTTTTACCAAAAAATTAACTACGCGATCAAATAAAAGAAAAAAGGGAAACATTTTATCAAAATATTTTTGTCTAGAGATAATAAATGTTAGTGGTATACTGAGCCTAATGAGAAGGCCGTTGAACGACCGTGAGAAAACATTCTAAAGGACGAATGCATATCACTGGTTAAGGTACAGCTTTATTTTTTAGTGATTTGAATATATGTATGTAGAGAATTATTTGTTCGTATTAATCTGTAGTTAAACAGATCTCGATAAAGTAGCCAGGTTTTTTTCGTGGGGGGGGGGGTTTCAACTTATCGCTCTCACATCTCGGCACTGCTCATCATAATAGTTAGCACATTTATTTAGCTTACAAAGTTAATTTGTAAGAATTCATTGACCACTTCATACAGAATATGTATCTTCCTCATTTTATCGGTTTATTTTTTTCTACATGATTAGTTCTATATTTAAATTAAAAATAATATACTGGCTGATAAAAAGAAGTAGACTCATGAAAAAGATCAAAAATCTCGATGTAGAATTGCTTTTGCTAGGGATGCTAGAAACCCGAGCATCGTCCGGTACATTTCTTAATTTTGTAATTTATCTATGGGTATTTCAAATTTTTTGACTGAAATTTTCGTTCTATTTGGTTGGGCTGAGGCGAAGGGAACAGCTTAGCAGTCCCATTATTGATTCACTCATTTACGTTTCGTTAGCTGATACCGAGCCGTTTCCTAAATTATCGCGACCACAGTCGTTTTCTAATTATAACTGTGCTGTACTATTCCGCAACAATAAAATTAATTTCAAACCTTATCAGTTAGAATCTACAAATACATTGTAAATGAATGCTATTTGAATGTATTTTTATTATGGAGCAATACTGTTACATGTTACTTTGATAAAAACCATAGCTCATACACTCGTTTACATTCGTGTAACAAGAAGCGGTAAAAAGTTAGTTTAATTTAAGACAAAAGCCACATTATTTTTGATAAGATTAAGTGAATAATTACATTTCATACTTACTCTTCTCATTTGACATTCAAAAATAACAGTGACTAGCTATGATTCCGATCAAGTGACTGTTCAATATCTTATTGTAGGCAAGAGTTCGCATAAATGATCAAACAGATTATCTGAGCAATAATTAGAATAACGTAATGTTAATTAATGATACTTTGCGTTATGCGATTATATTGAATAATGTTAAAAAACAATATAAATTTTGGTTTCTTGTGAAATTCCTATAATCAATCAAGACCTGTACATTATTCAAAGAAAATGAGAAAAGTAACCAGTCTGAAATATAGAATCTTATTTGCAATTATCTGTCGTCGGATATGAAACAAACCAAAATAAAATTATTTTGGTAAAACAAATTAATAGAGATTATATATCAGAAATCTCAATCAGCTAGATGTGTTTCTTTCTATATAAAAATCATACTTACTTTATTTATAATGGCGATCGCAGATTTGTAGGCATTTGTTATTGTTAGTTTGCATCACTGTCAACTCCATCCAAAAGTTCACAAACTTACATTAATTTGACATTAGAAAACTAAATAATTTGTGATGATTCTATGGAAGAACCGGTACTGATTTGTTCACTAGTTAATCTATCACAAAAGTCATGTATTAATTGTGTTTTTGAGTTGTCATTGTTAGAAACACTCAAGACAACTTTAAATTCGTTGTCTTTTAAACAATTGTCTGGTATATCATATTGCTCAAAAGTTTTCATTGGAAGCTTGTTAACATTGAAATGCATCAAATCTAATTTAGGTGATTTTTTTATCAAAACTTCTTTTGTTGATTTTCTCGGTAGATCTATTGCATTACAGACCAAGATAATAGGTGTCACTGGATTGCTAGGATAATTGATTTTATTTCCGGTTATTGATGCTCCAGGACAAAATGAATGTGACTGATTATCTGAAACAGAAGATAATCGTTCTTCATGTTGTTTGAATCGTTTGAATATCCTAGTGTATTGTACGTCATCCATGCTTAATAAAGAGCCAACTGAAGGAGCTCTATAAGTGACTGATGTATGTGAAAATTGATGTTGATGACTAGTTCGCTTGAGTTCGCGTAATTTAGAACAATGTGAATTTAAATACTTATCACGATGACATTTGTAGGCTATAAATGTTAGTGAGATTATCATTACTAATCCAGCGCTAGTTAGGCTAATTAGCAACCAGATATTTACTTGTTCATGTAAACTACTGATTGTTTTATATACATTCCATTTTTTGTATTGTCGATGGTTGATTTGTGAATGCATTATATCCAACTGTACAGATTCATTTGATATACTTTTATTAAAATACTCATAGTTCAATGATAATGAAGATGAGGGAAAATTGGAATTGTGAAAAAATAAAACTGAATTGGGTCGGATTCCTTTTGTTGTCACTTCATTGGTCGGTTCATCACGATTCACATAGTTTAGACTACTATGAAAGGAAAATGTTGAATTTAAAGTACAGTGTCGTTGTCTTGGAGAAAGAATGATTAATGGAATTGTAAAATATAAGGAAAATACAATTACGCTCCATAAAATATCTCCCACCAAAATATTCTATGTTTTAATCTCAATAATATTGTTACATAGTCTTGTAATGTTCATATTCTTGGGCTGAGTATGTGTTTCATACTGATACAATGATTAGAATGAAGGTAGTGGAACTTGGACACTTATGTAAATATAAATCTATGACAGAGTGTTTGTGTAAAATGTTATAAACTCATATTTAAGGAATAAAATTTTCAAAACAATTTTATATCCAAGCTAATATTGCAAATATTCATATAAATTGGAAATATAGCTTCTTTTTTGCTAACATTTATGATTCTCAGATCTTTGAGATTAGTAATCAGTCTTTCATGCATTAAGTATAAGAAAGATATACCTGCTTTCGAACTAATCGCATATCTATCTGCAAGCTAATGGTTATGCGGACACAATGGTTCATTGAATAACAAATTGCCAAAAAGAGGAACAACAGCACTACAACCTAGGAACATCCAAATGATAAGTCCTAGAAAGGACAGTATGTGAATGATCTATTCCACTGTTGTCCACTATCAATCTCTACATACGAAAAATTTACATAGCTGAGTAATTCATTTTCTTTTTAAACATTTTGTGGACGAATTATCAAGTACTTCTGGTTTGTGCAACAAAAAATAATAAGTGATCTATTCAGTGTCGTATTTTTATTTACAATTTTGTGGTTATAATAGGATTAATCAATATTCAACTACAGTAAAGAAAGAAATGAATTTGAATAACAAAACTTTTTCATACAATATCAAATGAATAATCTATAGTTGTGATCAGATTTCTACAATTCCCGTAAAAGCACAATTACAAACGATTTTTATGAGGCTACGCAAAAATTAATTCTCCAGCTTATAATTACATTGATTGTAGTGATATAGCTCTGTGAAGTGGATTAGCTTCCAATACTTAATGGTTGCATATTCCTTTGTAATATAGATCAATGTCATATTTGAAATTTTCTATCAATGAACCTTCAAGCAGTGGCCTAGTGGATCAGGTAACTGATTTACAGACGCTACTATCTGAGATCAATTGGCTACCTAATCTATTTGGGCTAGGTAACAGTCACACTTGGAGTATGAGTTACGATAAGCTCAGTAATGAATATGAATAGTTTGTACAAAACTCTTAAGATGTGTACATTAATATTGATTTCAGTGAATATGGTAATTCAGATTTTAATTTTGTCATCCAGAAAATGTTCATGTATTAAAAAAATATATATATACTCACTCTTTATATTTTGATTTGAGTAAATTTGGTTGAAATTTCGGTGTATGCTTCACATTTCCAAATTGTCTAACATGTATGTACATTAGGTAGGAATAACCTGCAACTATATCATTTAGTAGTATTCCATTATAGTAAACACCTTAATTGATAGAAAACAAATAAACATGAGTAATGGAAAAGTTTTTATTGGGAAATATTCCGTTAAATTTGTTTCTATCGTAAACAAAACTTGATTATTTATTCACAGTTGGATGATGGTGAAATGGAATATTCAACTTGAAAACATTGTCCAACAAGAGTAATATAAATAGTGTAGCATTCATTTTATCCTTTTTCACTTTTTCATTTACAAAAAACATTTCTCTCTTAAAAACTGTTGTTGTTGTTTTAAATTCCACTACATTGATATTCTTCTTCTTCTTTTTTTTCTTCATATTTTCTGTGTACCAACTATGTGAAATCACAGACAATGAACTTGAAATCGAAATCATGGAATAAGAACAGCTTACCGAACTTTATAAAAAAAGAAAAACTACTTGAATGATCATACCTCTTCTAGACTTTTTTGTTTTTCACTTACCAATGATCTGTTCAAACTTCTGGGTCACCTCTTCTTGTTCTAAATCTGTTTCAATAAACTGATTTTATTTGATACTTGACTTTAATCACGTTTGCATAAAATGTTTATTACTTAAGTAGTAAGAAACCTTAATAACATTATCAAGGTAGTGAGTTTATTTTCTTTCTCATTTGATTACTATAAAATGCATGTATCGATTGTATTGTCATGAAAGAAAACGTCATAGGAATAAAGCTGGTAGTAAATATTTGTGAATGAATTCGAACAGCAACTAACACTTGCCTAGTTGCGGTTTACACTTAGCTTCTGGATACATTACAAGTCGGATTCCTGTCAAGCAGTAATTTCGTTACGATATTCCATGTTTTATGCTCAAAATCATCTACTGAAGTCAGACATATGTTATTGAACAAGGCAAGCATTCCTATTTTATCAACAGAATAGATATGTGTAGATTGTTGAAATTCTCTAAAATAATGGTTCAATCTGAGCTAGACAACCATTAAAAACCTGAAAGCATTTGATGGCCAGTTTTTTCTAATTTGCAACAATCGAGGATGGTTGCACAATATTACGAGGTGATTAAAGCTAAATTTGTACACCATTGGGTCGCGGTTCATTGGTTTAGAGGTTCAATACTTGAGCGTAAGACTAAACGTTCTGATCAGTTACCTGTAATGAGATCGTAGATGCTTACCATTGGGGAGGCCGATACTGTGATAAAATGGCCGTCCAATGCTTCCAAGTTTTCAGCGGTTATCTAACGTAGATCAGTTCGTGCTCTCACTAAAATTATTATCACTATTTAGAAGCAAAACCTGAGATGTCGTTCTTAGACTAATCAGTAACGCGAAATCATTCAAATTTTACATCTCGAAGCTCTACGAATACATGTACAACCAAAAAGTGAATAAATGGTTCCGTGATGGTACTGTTACAGCTCTTATCCAAAACACATTAAAAATGTTCTCGTGAACTGTTGACTGATGAGAAATAAATGAAGATAACTATCACGTAGTTGACTGAAGCCACGTTTTCACTGTCACTGCTGTGAACAACAAAATATTGTCTATATTGTTAAATGACATTTTGTTTAATTAAATATAGGTCGGTAGTATCTCTAGGATGTACATTTTGATTTTATAGTGATAATTTATATTTCTAGAGCTTTACACCTACGGACAGCGATAATTCGCTAAAAATAAAAGAAATATAGTTATCACTTCTATCATACATCTAATTTTGCAATTTTAAAATAATGCTGACACTGATAAAAGTAATTATTTTTATGTTATGTAAACTTATAATTTTTATTTTCAATAATTCTGTAAATATAAACACACTTAAATGAGAACTTAAACAAACAGAGAAACAAAGAGACGATAACTTTTGCAAATATTATAATTATACAACATATACATGAATACTGATATGTTAAACCAGTCAAGGCAGTTGATGAGTCAATAATCACCATGACATAGATAACGTAACTACAACTAATAGGTCAAAGTACAAGTTGACATTCAGAAGACAAGTTTGGTGTTAGTGATGTGAATACGAAAATAATAATAATTTTTGTCAATAGTTCAACGTTGGACGTAGTAGGTCAAACTTGGATAAATAAACTTAAGATTATAATCGCAAAACACTATTTCAAACTCCGTTTGGAAATGATGTGGGTATACGATAGATCAGTCGAAATGAATCGGTTTTATCTATATCGCTATCAACTGGGTGTGCCAAGATAGAGATGCGTATTTTTATCTGGAACAGCTGAATATATAAAATATATATATATATATCCTTTGTTTGAGTAGGTCTCACTTGTCGACTAGAAGATGTCAACGTCAGAATGTTTTACTAATTGCCTTAGTTAACCTAACATCCATCAACTAAAGCTCAGTGACATTGCTTATTTTTGAAGTACATGATCAGAGATTACACATTGCTTACCAGTCATGTAACCACGAAAAAAATCAGTCCTATTCAGTTGTGGTGCATGTCCTAGCCAAATAACTTTCTGATTGTTAAATTGTTTCCCATATACACCTATGTAACAATGGTAAGAAAAATAAAACAAAGTGGAAATTTCAACTAATCAAAAGCTAAAAAAAAAACGAAAATAAATTCACGTGATGGAAATCCATTTCGTTTGTATATCATTCTCAATATTAATTGTTCGAAATTTCAATATTAAAAAGTCAATAAACCTATGTAGTGATAGATATATATATATGTGTATATATGTAATAGAAGATCTGAAGATAATATTTTCAGAATAAAATGTCATGGACAAATTACCACGTAAAAATTGAACGATTTTATATATAATTTACCGCTTTATTATCTTGTCAGCATACATTTCATATAAATTATCAAGTGTTTCAAAAAAGTTGACTATTTGAACACAACATTCCTAGACCATGTTTGTTTATATAATGTATTAGTCTTCAGAATGACTGTTGCTCTAAATGAACAGGTTACACTTTCTGTCCTATCACACTGATAGAGATAAAGAAGAAATTGAGTAACAGTTTATCTTAAAGAGCAGTTCTTCGTAACTGTTTTCACATTAATGATTTAAATGGTTCTACTAACCCTTAAATAATCATAAACATTATCTCTCTTCCAAAATGTTCCTAAACTTAAATAAATGAAGTATTTTAGATAAAGATTTAAGTTGATTCGAAATCGCAATGAATTCCTAAATGAATATAGTTTGATACAGAATATTAAGTCCGTAAATCTATATTCACTGAAGATGTACGTCTCATGTGATGGTAGTCAGTCTTGAAATATTTTTTCATCATTTAGCTGACTGAAGTTATGTTATATGGGAGAAGAGTTTTTTCATATGGATACTATATAATGTCAGCACTTTTCATTAGGCAATTCATCGAAGTCCAGAATACACATAATGGGAATCGTGAATTCGACTTCTGAAAATTAAGTGGATAGAATATATTTGCATGTTGATAGTCTAACTTACTATTTAGTTCATATGTGAGCCTTGTGTCATCTACTTCAAGAACTATTTGATGATCCACTCGGTAACCTCGAATTCGATGATAAAATCCATCATTGATTGGGAAATTAGGTCCACTGATATGAACCACACCTCCACCCATGTTATAATTAAGGCGTACTACACCTGATTCCTAGAGAGAAATTTTCAAAACAGTTGAATTTACATGTTATAAGTGAGTACTGATTGATCCACACTAATAGTATTACACAAAGTTCGAGAACAGTTTTCACTGTATACCTAGTGAGTAGTAACGAATGTAGTCTTATGCTAGTCCTCAAGGCTGATGGATTTCTTAACATCAATTTCCAACACCTAGGCCAGTCTAAATGGCCCTGTATCACATATGTTAGGTTGTAGTCAGCAGCAAACCAATTTTGGGGCATGACCCCAAAAGCTTAGTGATACGGTTTCAGATTGCAGAATTGTAGGAGGTGGGTTCAAATCCCAATAAGAGAATGAGACCCTGCGGGCAATATTTCCTCTAAATATTTAAATTAACAGCATAAAAGACAGTATAAATGAAGTGTTTGTCAAATTCTGTTTATGTTCACATATAAATAGCCAGACAAATGATCGGCCTGTTATTTCGGGGCACTTAAAACTTTGAAATCGAGTGCCTAATTACTGTGAGCACTGTTTGATCAGCGTTACAAAGGTGTTAACAATTTAGATTTCGATGGACTTTCGACTTGGATAATCGTATTTCAACGTGAATTCATCGTTGTTTCTTTTTCAAATGTTTGTGAATCGCCGGACATGTATTTTTGAAATCATTTATCTGATTTTCAGACTGTTTCACTAATAAAGTTAATTTTCTCAAAATATGAAATCCAAATTCATACGATTAAAGTTATACATTCCAGTTATTTAATCATCATCACCAATTATATTAAATGATAAATTCAGTCACACACAAATTAGTGAATGTTCTTGATAGTAGAGTTTTATAATCTTTTATTGAGCATTGGTGTTATCGAATCAGCAGCTAGTCATTTATATTGGAATTATACATTTTCAGTCAATACAATAGATATGATTATTTAGAGTCTTAAGGTTTCAGTACTGTAGCAATCTGTTTTCATTATTTCCTGTGAGCATCAAACCTTAACATAAGCCATATATTTTTACAAATAAAAGAAACTCTAAGAATAAAGTCAAAAGAATTCTATCTGTTCATTATTAAAAATGTACATTTGGTCGCTTCACTTTATCCTGATCCATAATCATACACCTAACACTCTGCTTTTCTTTCATTGATAAACTCTCTTCATCTCATTGTAAAACATTTCCCAATTCAACTACTGATAATATTAGTGACAAAGCGATCATAAAATTGTTCAAATATTATTAACAATGGAAACAAAAACCACAAGTGCCTTTTGCTAAATTCAGTTCTCCGTGAAATCTTCGCCATTATCTCCTCAGTTAGTATTGAGTTTAGTTTGCTAAATTTCTGTATGTCTAAGGTCATGTATTCCTTACTAGATATGCGACATTGTTTCGTTCGGTTTGTTCTGTTTCGAAAATCCAGATTTTTTTCTGAATCCGCCCTCCTCGAACTAGTCACAGAATGTTGGATTGTTGTATGCTGGTTATCGTTATTGATTTATTCAACAGAACTAATCGTGCAAGGAGAGTTCAAGCGTTCCTCACTTCGCATGGGCTTGTACTGAACGCGCACTATCAAAAAGTTATTGAAATCACATCTATGTGGTGTTTACCTATAATCTGCTTATTGGTAAAACGATGTGTTTTACGAAGGGATTATACCGTAAAACCCTGCAGGATCGCTAACTTAATGAAATATTAGCTCACAGTTACCAACCACACACGAAAACTTGATGGTATAATTTTATTCAATTGACTAGTCACCTGATTTGCGGCAAATCATTACATCATAATGAATAAATATTCCTATTTTTTCCTATCTTGGAATAGAATTATGAAGCATCAATACTTTTGAATAAAAATTATATTCTATTAATGCATAGACATACCAAAAATAAATGTATAAAATCACCAATTCGCGTTAAACTTGTCACAAATAATAAAGTTGAAATATAATTATCATTGACTTGTGAAATGTGCCGTTGCTGTTGTTTGTTTTGAGTGAAATATGCTAAAGATGTCTGAACGCCAAGTACAAATTCATCTTGTTTTGTATTTCTTCCACGATCTGTGTAAACTAAACGTAAATAACCAACATTTACACTGTAATTGCTGGTTTGATCAATGTCATTTGATAAGTGATGACTAACAGTTGAATTATAATCAATGCCGTATGCTATTGTTGTACCAGCTATAAAGAATTTTTAAAATCAATAAATTATTAAATCAAGCTTCCTAAATTGGGAACAGTAAAATAAACGCTACGGAATGAGGTCTTTTTAAACATGAGTGAGCTTGAAACAATTGGTAAAAAGTTGATTTCTAAACATGTCTAAAGCCCTGTCATTGAGGTTTGAGAGACCAGTACTGAGATATTTCATACTATGGCTAAACGGTCATCTTGTGCTTACAGGTTCCCATAGTGTTCTAACAAATATCAATTTGTGATACAAACTCCATGAGAATCCTTATATCTAAAAGATATCTTTCAGCGATAAAAAAAACCATGATATTGCCTGTTAGAGAGGGCAAAACATGACATAGATAAGAAAGGAAATCTATTGCATGTGAACATTAAGATTGCTCATTGCTTAAACAGACTGTATCCATAACCGAAATACATTTCAAATAACTGAAACTTAACTAGTAAAAAAACCTTTCAAATATAACATATTATAGACCTTTAAAATTGTTTGCACAATGATTTAACAAATATTTTCATCAGTTAAGAGAGACTAAATCATAAAGTATTCAGATATTTTATGAATCACAAGGATATTGGTTAATGAACTATAATCTCTTAAAAAAAATAGTACTATTGAAATAATTAGTACTCAGAAATATGAAAGATAGTTGATCTTATTGCCTCACTAGAATTTTTCTTCAAAATAATATCTATGGTTGAAGTTGATTAGTGCAAGGAAACGTAGATCAAAAATTTTTACTCTGCAGAGATCTCAGTAATCCTCTAGTTCAAGTGTGTATTATTTGTTAAAATGCATCTAGTACAGTCGGTCATTTACTAATACCTCTTTAACAGTTTTCTATAATTATTATTCAATTATTATTGTTATCACCTCCATCTAACCATTTATCAAATGAATAACTGTTTTATTTCTGAATAGTAAATTAGTTTCACTTTCATATGTACCGTTAATCTGTAGATTATTACACAATTCTTTTAGGATACTTGAAATCACTAAACACGTTATAAAGTCCACTGTCTTCTGTTTTGCTATGAATTGATTTTTAAAAAAAAACATATTAAACATGAAATAATTTCATTTTTTTTACTGACCTTTCATACATCGATGCCCATCAAATGTAGTCAATTCACAGGCACATTTAACACCTAACCATGTATGTAAACAAATGCCATCATTTAAACAATATGGTTGAAGTAGTTTATTATTTTCATCATCATTAATATCGTTATTTACTCTTTTGATAGTTGAATGATTTTGAACACGTTGAACTTGATTACATTGCAATGCTCCTTTCGGTCGATAGTGACAATCATCGACAATTTGATCTTGGCAAACAGGTAAAGTCCAATTTTTTGCATATTTTAACTTAGCCATATTTAGTAAATTTAATGAAGGTAGTCCATTTATAGAGAAATTTCCTAGACATCCCTTATCAAAAATTGAATATAAAAAAAAATTACAACTATTACGAAAATGTTTATCGATGTTGTTAAGTGCTCAGATATAAATGTTCTAATAATGGGTCTTTCATTGTCATCTCGTACATTCTCAACACTACAACTAAGTAAATGGCATAATTTGGTTCATTGGAATTGAATCCATAAAATACAAATGACTTTGCGAAATATTCCGAATACGAAAAGTGGTTTACAAATAACTTTCCATAGTTATCTAGAAAAGCAGGCATTTGATTTGATTGAGTTCTTCAAGATATGATGTTCAACTTGAGATCGGAAAATAATTTTTAGCCATGACCAGGTGTTTTGTGAAAAATTTGCCAGAATAATCACATTTGATTACCTTGGATTTTTTGTCAAGTAACCAACCTCATCTGCTTAATAAATCATTTCTCATATGGACCAAACTGATGGATTATAGGATAAAATACATTTGAAGATGTTTTTTGTCACAAACTGACATCGACTATGGAACTAGTGATAACTACGAATTAATGGTCAGGCATTTTGTTATAGGAAATCAAAATGTCTGTTCACTAGTGACTGTGTCTGAGTTTTAGTTTTTTAACGTTCTAGTGGGAAGCAGGGACTTCAAGTATGTAAAGCTTTTGAATTTCATTAATATTGCAGGAAGTCAGTCAGAGGTGGTTGAACAGGAAGGCCACTTCATGACCGTCAGAAATGTGTTTAGGAAGAAGCATATAATGGATCAAGAAACTGATTCATTTTATAAAGGAGTGGAATATATGTATACACATCAAAAGCTAGATGCTTACTTTTTTCCGTTTCTACACTCAGGAAACAAAGTGGTGCCGTTGATTTGGTAACTTGTTGTAGAAATCCAAAAACATCATTACCTAGCAGTCTGAGGGTATTTCAGTCACTAAAAAATAGTACCTACCTCAATGCTCGAATGCTTACGCCTGTCATCTTTAATGGAGCATAGACCGCCAACCAGCATTCTCTATCCTATTCTGTCCAGGATCTTCCTTTCCAGTTCTATCCAATGGCTGTTCATTCTTTTCATGTCTGTCTTCAATTCTCGGCATAAATGTGATCTCTGATCTTCCTCTTTCCTTTTAGCCATGAGGACTTCAAGTGAAGGCATTTTGGTGACCCCGTTGGAAGTTTTCTGCAATGTGTGTCCTATTCACCTCCAGCACATTTTTCCAGTTTCTTCTTGTTAGGATATTTATTAAATATCCTAAGAGAACTGTTGGTCCATTCCTATTGCATAATTCCTGCTGGTCAATATTATGATCGTCCTAAATATCACTGTCACGTACTCCAGAGTTGTTTCTTATTGACCGTCCTGACTATCAATGTTACTTGAAATGTTGTTTCCTATTGGCCGTCCTAACTGTATAAATATGCATTGTCTGTAAGGTATTATGACGCGGACCCAGATTCCGAACCCCAGTCCGGGATCTTGATTCTCTTCTGGACTAGGACTTCGTACTTTCTGGATGTATTTAGAATACAGGTTCTACTTCATATCAAGTCTTCTTCTTTTACTCAATGGGGGGGTTTGGACTATTGGATTAGAGTAGCCTGTCGTGTCGCCGAATCATCGATCCTCGCTCTCGTTTTCTGACTACGGTGCATTCATAACCATTCAAGCAAATCAAATTGACCTGTTTACGTGCATGCGTACCACTTCTTCAGCTGGAATATGGCTTGCCCTTTACCACAGTAGGTTGTTGCTGATGGTCTCTGGCCATCGGATCCTCAGTATCTTGTGTAGACAACTGTTAATAAACACCTTCACCTTGTGGATGATGGCCTTCGTGGTTCTCAAAGTTTCCACTTCATACAGTAGAACTGTCTTGACGTTTGTATTGAAAATTCTGACTTTGGTGTTGGTTGACAGTTATTTGAAGCTTCAGATGTTCTTCGGTTGTACAAATGCTACTATTCCTTTGCTAGTCCGCGCCTTCACGTCTCTATCAGATCCACCTTGTTCATCAATGATGCTTCCAAGATAAGTAAACGTTTCTACATGTCCCATGTTTCTTCGTCAAGTATGATTTGGTTGGTGCACATTGTGTCATGTCGGAGAGTCACGTTTTTTCCCTTACGTAATCAGTGTTCAGTACTTTTAAATCGACTAGCATATAATACAGTTTGGGTTTGAATTTTATTTATTGCAACATTGTGGAAAGAAAAATGTTTTATTTTTATTGAGAAGATCGATATAGTTTTTACTCTGAATATTCATACATGCACTCACCAGCTAAAAGCGATCTGTTTTCATTGAGAAATAAGCACTAGTTCAATATCTCATTCTTATCACTAAAAGGATTATTTAAAAAGCAGTCAGATAAATTAGATTTGTTTCACTCTATCTATATGAAGCAAAAATTAAATACAGTCCGGTAGATGATTGTTTGCAGTAAACTATTGATAGTTTTTTTTATATCTGTAGGAGACATATATGTCTATGATAAAATACACTCATACAATAAAAGAATTATTTATATAAAAGTCAAATTATTTAAAAAATGGATATGCAGAATTTTGAATGAACTTTTATTGTTAAACTTCAGTATGAGTCATGAAAGTTGTTAAACTTGGCCACATAAAAATAGTAATGAACTTTAGTTATAAAATATAACTTCGTATAAACAAACAACGGTTGATTTCAACACGAAAGGTATTTTTTTGAAAACAAGGGGTTACTGAGTATATTTTTTATCTTCGGATGAGTCTAATCAAAAGTGAGAATTCACAAGCCACCGGTCATCGGATACAGAAACTTGTCTCATACAAGAACTCTTAAATTCCTAAATTATTGAGATGAAATCCACTGGTTTACATGTTTAATTTTAATCAGTTCATGATACTATGAGACCATCCATCTTCCTGCTGTGGATAATTGTATCACATCCACCAACATGGTTGAACTGAAATTCCATGTGGTGGGATAATTGATACTTTTTTCTTCTTTTTGTTTTCTTGATGGTGTTCTGGCTAAGATCACTTCAAGATTTAAACTATTGTAGTTCCAAACTGGTCCGAAATTTCGTAGTGAATGCTTGTTTTGTTAATGAACGTGGATAATTTTGTTCGAAACTCAATAATTTATTTTCAGTAATGAGAGTCATCAGCTGGATGAACCTGCAACCAAGTTGATGCTCACTTCAAAACTCAAACATCCAACATCCATTCGTTTCAGAAACCACTCAGTTATTATTTCGTCTACCTTTCATTTCTGAAAGATTAAAGGACTCGAAGTTAATGATTTTCAGCATGTATTTTACTTTATTCACTGAGAATAACGAATCGTTTAGTGGTTATTTGACTTTAATATCCGTCTGAGCTACGTAAAGTTGCATTTTATGAATTAGTTCAGAGAGGTTTGGGTCAGTTGAGTGGACATACATGATCAATTCCATGAAGGTGGCTTTATTTAGATCCTTGATTACCCCCCTTTGGAAATAACTTATAGGTGACTGTAAAAAAAAGCCTGTTAATGAGAAGTTTTAATCCTAATGAACAATCTTTTTCTGAACTATGAAGCACTTTCGTTGCTATTATTTTGTTATCTTGTATAAAATAATGAATGTTAGTAGAGGAAATATACTGTGGTTTTGCTAATGATGAGCTGCATCTTTTTCTCTCCGACATTTTATCACTTTACCAATTTAACTATTTATTATGCTGCTTTACATAAAATGTACATCCTTGTACAAATTTGTATAGGCTTATAAAATGTATCCTTCGACATAATTCTTATTCAATATGTAAACTACATAGCTTCATCTGATTAGGTCTTGATAAATCAAATCAAACTGTGAATTGGTTAAAATGAGAACTTATTAATTTTGAAAGAGATATTGTGATTCCAACTAAATTACAAATCAGAATACAGATATCAGTAGTTCTGTCAAACGAAGTGTATCTAATTTATTGTAAATAGTGGCTTTATCAATGTTGTACACTTATTTAATGTTCAACTAGTGTCCTTTTCCTGTGTACATTCGTAAACAATCATAAATCTAAATAGACCGTCTAATATCAAAATTTTAGTTGAATTCGAACTGCATCTCTCTGATTGCAGCTATGTTTGTGCATTTTCTTCAAGTGATAAGTCCAAATCCAAGTGCGGCGTCAGAAGTGAGTAACGCCTGTGGGCGGGCTCGAATCACCAACCTTTCGGTTCACGTCTAAACGCGATAACCCAATGCGCCACTAAGTCGCTGTACATTAAATGTTTACTTTCAGTAATTCAGTGACTTCGACTTCATCTGGTTATATAAAAGTGACTTTGACAAACGTACCAAAAATATAAATATGTACAGTTACTATGAATAAATTTATTATTTATTAGCTCATCAGTGTGTACATACGTTGAGATTTTGTAACAACTAAAAATTTCTATCCTGAAAAAATAACCTGCTTAGATAAAGTTTTCAAAGTAATATTGACCTGAATGGAATCCTAAAGAAGGAAGGAGTAAGAAAATTATACTCAGAAGTTAAGAACATGGATAGTATTAGGTAGCTACTGTGAAGCCCAGGAACAGTTGTTTGGAAAACTATGGTCAGCATCCTAGGCATCAAAAGGTGTAACAGGTTTAGGTAAGTAACTAGTTAAACAGTAAATACCCAAGTAGTTCTCAAAAAAGTAGTAATCTCGTTTTGATGCAGTTTCGTCCACAAAAATCACCCATCACCCGGTTACGATGCAAATACTATGATCACAAACAACGTACATTCGATTAGGACATTTCACAGATCCTACTTGATAAGCATAATAATATTTTAACATTCTTTCAACCGTTTTTCCAGTCAACATATATCCTACTTACTTACTTACGCCTGTTACCCCCAATGGAGCATGGGCCGCCCACCAGTTTTATATATATATATATATATATATCCTACTGCCCTCAGTTAAATGGAAGGCCTTATTGTCCGTCTGACTTGAATCATCTATCAACACTGCTGTGTCCAATACTTCTCACATCTCACACCACTATTATGCATACAAATAGACCTCTGTAGTTTTACACTAAAAATGACACTTTTTTCACACCTATTTATGCACACAAATATACCAGTATGCCTCATTAAATCACCTTGATCGAAGTGACATCATATTGAACTTGTTTTTAACTGATTCTACTTATATTATCATTTCAGTGCTGCTCCTTTGTAATATTTAAACTTTAGTCAATTTAATTTTCTCTGATGAAGCAACTTATATTTAAACTTTTTTTGTATTTTATGGTTCATTAAAAAATATATTTTCTTAATTACTATTAAACAGTTGAAAAGAGATGTTATCTTCACTGTGAAATATAGGTAAACATAAAACTTCTTTAGTTTCTTTCGGAAGGAATACCGAGAGTCAGAATAGCGCAGTTCGTATAATCATTGAACAGTTTGTTTAGCTGTTCCAAATCAAGCGATCATGTATGAGAAATAAATATCGATCTCCGATTGTTTATTCATGTTTGACACTCTAGATAATTCCGAAAAATTCCCCTTATATGAACATTTCCGAGATAAAACTAAGTTGGTGTATATGATAAAATAATTTTCAAATGTTTACCTGAAATCCATGGTATGAGCTAAGTTTTTCTCTCCATTTCAAGAATACAAGTTGAGAAATACCTCCTATATAAAGTGGATCATCTAGATTGAAATTTCTTGCAATGTCACCATTGAAAACAGGTATCTTCAGAGACTGTTCAATACTTTCATTTCTATCGATGTAGAGTTGAAGTATGTTATTTTCAAGATCTTTTCTGAAAGAATATAAGCAAATATAGGAATAAACAGCACAGTGAACCATTGACGGAAGATGTCACATGCAGCTTTATAAACGTTAATGGTAGATGAAATTTCTTCACCAGTTAGGCACATCTAAGTGGAACTGAACAGACACTATATCGTGTACAGTATCTTCGCAAAATACACATATTCCTAATGTGATATAAACAAAGACGATAACGTACGCAATTGTAGATTATGTTAGACCACATTTGTTCGGTTTGGTTTTGATGGTAATAAAATATGTTCTTCTTTAAGTTAACACACTAGTAGTAGATGATTTACTTTGATGTAGGTTATACTTGAGAGTACTGCCTGATCTTACAACCTGTTTCCTTTTAGATTGTAGAGTGAACATAAAACATTCAGGGGCAGGTGGAAAGCAATTATGATAATGATTATCTTTTCTGTTGAGAAGGCAGCACTGCTAAAGAAACCGGATGTCCGTAAAATTGTTTTAATACCGCAATGTTTACGCAAAGTTATAGGTACGATGTTATCCTCTCTCAAGCATTTCAATTGTAAAAATTCCAGCAATATGCTTAGGAACGTATAATGTGATTGGATCGCCATGATATCCGACACTAACCCAAGTATGGAAAATTACATGTTATTTTGTAGCTCTTAAGCAAACTTTCTATATTTCTGTCTATTATAAAAAAAAATAATTAGTTGATGTAATGAGCTGAAGGTTGATGCATTGGTGCTTGTTGTTTGAATCTCCCCATTGGTGTTTAGGACCGCGATGAATTACTCTCCTTTGCATATTTGCATCCAGTGTGGTTTGTCCCGGAGTGAACATGAACTCTGAGATGTAGGTACATCCAACGGTTCAGAGTTCTAAATAAGACGACTCCACCGCAAGATAGTATCCCCTTCTGTCAACAGTTTTTGTTATCCGAAGGCATTATTTAGGATTTCCGTACAGGATGCACAAATGCCAAAGAGATTGATCAATTTCAGTCTTAAGTATTATTGTAAAGTTTTAAATTAGTGAATATTGTGTAGAAACACAAGTGATTACTACACTATTCTCTTAATCAGTATCTTGCGGAAAATAGATGTTTCTGTCAGTTTACATATTAAACATGTCAACAGCTGAAGCATAAAACAAAACGAATCGCCTGATACTGAACGTTGTTAAAACCTCATGCTTCTTCAACTGTATTAATGAAGATTTTCGACTTATCGAATGAAGGCATACCTTCTATAGACAACCAAATGAAATTTAACGCAGAACACTTAGAACACAAAATGGTGACCTAAAAATAAATAATCGATGCGGGAAATTAAGAATTAGTGGATATCACAAAAATTTACTCTTATTTCAAAAACGTTTCTATTGTTTATGTTTAAAGTAACTGCTTTGATATTATGATATAAACTTGACGCTGTAAAACAGTGTATGACGTTCTGGTGATTATAATGCAGGTAAATAAATACAATAGATAATTTATCATAATTTTGCTCTGTTACTATATTTAGAACTCGGAAAGTAAGTTTTAAAGAGAGGGAAAACAAACAAAGAAAACATTTCACAAGTCATCATTTCACAGGTCTAAAAATAACTAAGAAAAAAAAACAAGTGAAAAATGTCAGTTTTCACTTAAATTGTCATATGCTTTACTCTAATATACAGTAATATTTATTTGGATTTGTGAAAATTTTATACTGATTAAGTCAGTGTATAAGTTAGTGATAACAAGAAAATGAGTTACATAACTACCACTAATGTGTATGAAGTGAATGAATTGCCTATATGATGACTGGTATACTGAAAGTGACAAAATTTATTACAATTCCGCGATTATAATCATTGAAGTAGATATACAGTCAAGAATATATTGGAAAAAGGTGTGGAAAAAAAACGAACGAATAAAACGATATGGAAAAGAATCATAATTACAACTAGAAGCATATGCTAAGCACATTTCTACCAAAGAAAAAGTAAACCTATTGCAAATTTCTCATGAGTTCAGAAATTTCGGTAACTAACTCGAATCCCTATGGCTTCTGGGGAGGAGATGGAATCCTGCAACGAACAATAGAAGTTAGACTATAAATTTCTCTGAGTGACTAGGTTTCAGACGAAGTATGATAAAATGGACCGACATTCTGTTTTTATTTAGAGCAAAACCTAACAAAAATCTAATTGCGAACTAGGTTCTTTATACTAACATTAGGCTGGATAACTGATCAATATGACATACACAGACTGGATCGCATCGGAACATGATTGACTACGAAATATAGTAAGCCACTGTAAGTGTACTAAACAAGGATTTTCCCAACACAATTGTATGCAGTTTACACTCAGTGAGTCCGGAGTAGAAATCGACAATGACAAAAGTATCGCTTATTAAATAGTTAATAGCTGTTAGTCTATTACGATCAATGGCCAGTCACATCTTACTTTCACAAGTATACATTATCCAAGTTATTCCACTTTATTGTATGGAGAAATTTTTTTCTGTTTTAAATATAACTTACCTAAACAATTCCACATGGTGCCAATTGGAGTCAGTAACACTGTGTGAAGTCAGTGCATACCGTTGAGATCCACTCCCCATATCGAAGACAAAATGTAAATAACCTTTGATTAATTCGAATGCCAAAAAATCAACACCTTGTTTATCTGAATTAAATAATATCAAACCGTGTTCTTGTGATGTACGAAATGTAAATTGTAAGCGGAATTTCTCATACAAGTGCATAGATGGATTATATAGATAACAATCGGATATTTTAATTGTTATAAAATTGAATGTTATTGACGCTTTGCTCGATGGTGTTTTTGTTGATGTTAATGCTAATGATGAATGATGGTAGCCTTCATAAGTTTTTACCGATTTGTTTTTATGTAATTTGTATTTTTCATTGAGGTTAAGTAGATCTGTATCGTGTGCTTCATCATATAAAAAAATTGGCGACAAGAAATACGAATTAGTAAATGCCAGTTACTTATAGTGAAATTTAATACGTGATTTGTATATACATACAATTCTACAATTGTTGATTTACACGGAAACATACGATTACTAATTTTAAAAAATATATCAATTCTGGAATTCGATCAACTAATAGTATTCACACTCATCGACAATAAATATGCACCTATAAAATATGAATTCAAAGCAGTTGTCTATTGCATCGAAGAATACCTTTTTTATGAACATTTAGTGCAAAGAAAATAATGCAAAATAAATTTCCAAAACAGGATCTTCAAGATGTATGAACAACACATTTTATTGGGCCGAACTTCATATTTTCTTTGCCGTTAAGTAAAGAGCAAATTCCCGAATTGACCCGAATCGATGTGCCTCTACCAACCGACTTGCTCATGTGGAGCAGGTTTTATCGACAATATGGAGCGAGCGTATTTGAAGCATATTTCTAGACATTATCTTATTAGGACGTTCAAAGGCTACAAATATCAGTCGAAAGCCTTATCCTGAAACATTTAGTCAATTATTTTCATGCTGCTACTATACATTCTTTGGTCAAAATCATTCATACTCTTGGAAAAATCTGTTCGAATGGAGTAAAAAAAATTAACCTCTATACAGCAGTGTCCAGCCATCTTTTGCATTACAGCTTAACGTTTGAATACAAACAATATGTCCATTATCTCATTCTACCATGGTCCTATTTTCTGCTATCTATAATCTACTTGTTTCCTATGCCATTCTATTTATTTTATTATGACTTTTAGCAAGCCATTATTAAAATATTCAATTATCCTGCTCTTCATATTTGTCAAACGAACAATTATCACTCAGCTTTAAACTATCTTCAGCATAATATTTTTCGTTAGCCGTTGAACTGCTATTTAATATAAGACTTTTATGAATAACTTATGACATGGTATCCCTTCATTGTTTTGAAAAATAAACGATGCATTTCTGTTTTTCTACAGACTAAAAATTTTAATAGGTAAACTATCAAATGAACACAGCAGTATTGTTTAAGTAAATAAAATCGTCGTAAACATATTTCGTCCACTGAATTGTCAGTTTTCTACATTAACAATAAAATGGGATCCAGAAAATACGCGACAAACACTTATTTTTAACTCAGAGCAAATTAGCATGATTGTGTTAACAAAGAGTTTCATAAAGTTTAATAAAATCACCTTGGTGATTCATCAAAAATAAACATATACAGGACAAAACCTTATGGTAGAGATGTAGCTCTTTGATTTACTGGTCTCAGTCTCTGTAGAATAAATAAATGTTGGTTAGGTCTATTCACATAAAATATTGGTGATATTAGTATCCTCATATCCCTTTTTATGGAGGGCAAAATAATTCACGTTTGTGGGTGGTTGATTGAATTGTAACTTGATGTCTTCATTTTTGTTTTGGTCTTATTCAAAGATTTTATTCGTTAAATGGACTAATGTAGTTTGAAATTTGTGCCGTTATTCTTTTTCTACCACATTTAATTTACAGCGAAACTTAAGTAGGATTGTAAAATTAGGGATCAATTATTGGCAGTTACGGATAAATACCATTTAAAGTTGTTAAAGGAACAAATAGTACTGATAAGATTTACAATGAAGACAGAAAAATCAAAATAAACGTATAAAAAGAAATAGCACAATTTTTGATGAAACAGGCTATTCGTCATTTGTGATAACATGCTAATGTCACAATAGAAACCCGGTCAAAATTGTCATCAAGGTAGAAGACACAATTATAATCTAGTGTGGAAAATAGGTGGACATGATCTGTCTGACAATCGGTCTTTAAGACGTAGTTAAATATTATTCAAGTATTTTGAAGTCGGCAGATCCTTTATTTTGTGTGTCGTGAGAGATTAAAGGAGTTAAGTGAATGAATGTAACAGTTAATGAATAAAACCAACTAATTCAATCTACTAATAAAGTCGTTTACATATTGAAAATTATCGATCTTTTTCGTTATACTGAATAATACAGGCACATGCAAGGAAGTAAACAAGACTGAAGAAGACCGATTTATTCACTAACCAATCATTAAACGAAATCCACAATAATTGCATCGATAAATTATATATCATCGTAAACGTATTGGCCAGTCAACAAAATTGTGATCGATTACATAAATAGTCAAACAATAATCGAATGTGTGAATACAATTCACAAAATCAAAAAATAAACTGACTTTTATTGAGATATATAACTCGTCCCAGAATTGAGGACTTTCATAGTTGCAAATAACGAACTGATCTTAGCTAGATCACCGTTGAAATGGATAGCGACTTCGTCCTAGTTTAGGACTTATTAGCAGTGCACATTTAGTATCCTATCTCAGAGGATCGAACACATAACCTTCTATCTTGTCGCAAACACTTAACTTCGGGACTCCTGAGCCGTAGTGTTTTTATGAGAAGGAGCCTGATGAAACTAAAATTTAATTGTGATTTTTTTAAAACAATCCGTGGAGTAAGCATTGCACTGTCTGTTTGAGTAAATTGATTATCAATTTGCTAGACAGACCGTTGCAAACAAGATTGTATAAGCAAATTAGGGACTTTTAGTTAATTTATATCGTCTTGTTGAACGATACAAATTGTTCGAATACTACTTATCGTAAAAGAGTATATATATGACGTAGTGAAACTCACAAATGTTTCAAAATTAGTCATAATTTCAAATAGATAGCCAAAATCCTAACGGGAGATTTAAGAATAGTTTTATTTATACTTTACTACAGTTTAATCCACTCTGCATTTGCATGAATGTACACATTAAAACATATAAATTATAACACACATAAATCCCACAATCTTCGTGCATGTATGACAGTGGATAACGTGAATTACAACATATTGAAGTTTGCAGTTATGTCATACTGACCAGTGTCACCTAGTATGAAACCTAGTTTTAAGGTAACCTGTTAATGGTTCCAACCTACCTTTGGTGAAAGAAAAAATGAAGTGTGTTATAAGAAAGTCAGATCACTGATATCGATTACACTACAAATCATAGCCGTTATGTAGTGGCACTGTGTAGTTGTAGTAATAGTAATAGTAGTAATAGTAGTAGTAATAATAGTAGTAGTAGGAGTGATAAGAATTATGAAAGCACAATGATAAAATAAATAACATAGAAAGTTGGTTAAGTTACAAAGGTTAATAAAGAAAACTTCTTGCTAATCAGTCTACACTACATAAATATGAACGAGAGAATATACGAAGAGGTGATTGATAAATCGGACGAAAAAGATTGAAAAAATCAAATATATCACACATCATATATTACCAGGTTAAATAAGAAATCTTGTGAGTAGGAAGACTTGAGCCATTTTCTGTAAACCTTACAAGGCATTCTTTATGTAGGAAATTTAGTTGAAAGATATAGGAAAAAATATGTTAAATATATCTCACATCTACAATATCACCAGTAGTGATAGTATGACTGGTTTGGCAATTTTTTCTCTACACATTTGAAATCATTAATCAATCATCATTGTTAGACCACCATTAGAAACCTGGAAGCACTGGACGGCCGTTTCGTCCTAGTATGGGACTCCTCAGCAGTGCGCATCCACGACTCCTGCTCCTCGCAGGATTCGAACCCGGGACCTTTGGCATTGTAGGCGAACGCCTTACCATCGGACCACTGGGCCGGCATCCAACGGTGTTAATGTCTAACTCTGATTGATCTAGGGATTTTGCGCGACCTCACCCATTTGTCTTTGGTAGTTACTGCCTACACCCGACAGGGTTGAACTCCACTGGTCACGTCTTCTCAACTAGAACTCCGAGAATTTCCTCACGAAGCTAGTCACTAGTGAGCACTGTTACATTATATTGGGGCACAGTTTTGGAGGTTTGCGTTTTTACACATTTGAAATCATTAATCAATCATCATTGTTAGACCACCATTAGAAACCTGGAAGCACTGGACGGCCGTTTCGTCCTAGTATGGGACTCCTCAGCAGTGCGCATCCACGACTCCTGCTCCTCGCAGGATTCGAACCCGGGACCTTTGGCATTGTAGTGACTAGCTTCGTGAGGAAATTCTCGGAGTTCTAGTTGAGAAGACGTGACCAGTGGAGTTCAACCCTGTCGGGTGTAGGCAGTAACTACCAAAGACAAATGGGTGAGGTCGCGCAAAATCCCTAGATCAATCAGAGTTAGACATTAACACCGTTGGATGCCGGCCCAGTGGTCCGATGGTAAGGCGTTCGCCTACAATGCCAAAGGTCCCGGGTTCGAATCCTGCGAGGAGCAGGAGTCGTGGATGCGCACTGCTGAGGAGTCCCATACTAGGACGAAACGGCCGTCCAGTGCTTCCAGGTTTCTAATGGTGGTCTAACAATGATGATTGATTAATGATTTCAAATGTGTAAAAACGCAAACCTCCAAAACTGTGCCCCAATATAATTTTTTCTCTCCTGCATGTTAATATAACAGAGTTCTTGAGTAAAGCTTGATGAGAATGGTTGTTTTACAATTTCTTTTTAAAACCCCTTCAATTTTCATTGAATATCCGCACTGTCATTACACTTATAAATGCCATACAGTTTTTTATTAGGACGAGAACAACAAATGTATTAGTATCATTCGCATACTACTTAAATAATAGTATTAATCATTAAGAACCAGTGTAAATACTCTATCTCAGAATGTCAGAAATGTGAGAGAATTATAGGAGTTGTTCAAATAGTAAAATACTTATACATTAAATTATGAAAAAGTACTAGAAGAAAAGATTGATGATCAAAATTACGTAATGATAAAAGTTAAGAAAGAGATTGATAATCAAATTAAAAATGAATGAGGCGCACATGAAACTCAAGTTAATAAATCAGAGTTGATTTTCTAAATTAGTAAACAAAACGCTGTCATATACGAAGGTTATTAGGGAACAGCATTCATAACAGCATTGATCTTTTGAATATATGAGTCCAATTCATGTCTTTTATTAATAATTGCCTCGTCAAAACGTATTAAGTCTGAAGATATTAATCTATTAATAATTTTGAACGATTTCTAAATCCGAACATTGTGTCTACTATCAAATGTATAAAGGGCAATCGAACCTTTAAAGGTAAGTTGAGGATTTTGCTCATTGATATCAACATTTATTTGCGATTCTGTCCTCCTAATGTATGTGCTTCAACAAGTACATGTAAACTGATTCACAAAACCGGTGGTCACTTAAGGTGAGCATTCATCCACTCTTGAATGCCTAACAAAGCACTTTGTTATATTGAGACAAGTTTTGTTGCTGCATGGGTCCTTCACCTTCAAGTCTAGAAACAATAAGGCCAGGTAATCTATCACCTATGAATCTGAGTAGTAAGAAAACAGGTTTTTTCTCCACTGTAGCACACTTTGTTATTTCAATATTTATCTTCCCAAATTTACTAATAAAATTTCGTGGATAACAAGATTTCATCAGAAACGTTCAGCAATGCTTAATTCCTCATCAAATTGTCTTTTGAACACAAGTGAATAGAATTCTAACTAAAGCTCGTTTACAACCCAGTAGGACAGAAGTTATTAAAATTCAAATAAAATTCATTGCATGTGTATTTTCTATGAATAAATTGTTGAATCGCAAATATTTTCATTATGTTGGATATCAATGTCTAGAAAGTGAAACTAATTGTCCAGTCCCTGCTTCATCATAAATTGTGTATTTAAGTATGCATGAATGAGAAGGTTCAACATATTAGAAACATATTTATAATGATTGTAAGCAATAAATATGTTTGCAGCTGATAATAAACCTCGAAATACAATTAATTCATTTTTAATTGTGATCGGTTTATGAACAATAATAGCTGATAAAATATTAAATAGATATTTCTTTATATTCTATAGTATATTATCACCAGCACACACTAATGGGATTGAGTAAAATTATAGCAAAAGCTAGACTGAAAGTTTAGAAATTTTATATCTACCATATTTAAACGTATAAGTTAGTATTTGATATAGGTTTCTGAAAAGTAGTTTGTCTATAACTCTTTAAGAATGCTCCTATATAGTATTCTTTGTCATAAATTTGATATAGACAAAATTTACTACAGATTGCTGAACTAAAAATCATCAAAAATTCTATACCTACAGGCTAATCATTTACTTTGTGAAGCCTAACACATTTGTTTGAGTAGAGTCTGTACATCGATTCCATTAAGTTTATTAACTACATGCTAGGAAACAATATGTGTAAAAAACACAGTTCAGTAAAAGTAGGATAAGTGGTAGTTCTTAGGAGTAAAATATAATGAGACATATTATTATGCATAGACTTTCTGATTATTAGAGTAATAAAAAAAGATTATCAAATGGAAACTACTTACATGATATCATTTTTACCGGCTTCATATTCGATTGTGAATCCTTTGTTTCATTTAGATTGTTGTGAAAATTGATTTGTGTTTGATAATTCGGTAAATCCACCTGGACAAATGATTAGATGACGGAAGTAGATAAATATATTTAGCAATATTATTCTAGGAATTCAATCCAATGAATCGTTTGAGCATTGTCAAAAGTCAAGATCATTTATATTCTCGTCCAAATTTTTCTCTATCATTAAACCACACATCTATTTGCCTAGTTTCTAATCTAAATTCGAACTACTAGTTACCAAGAAATTTTCGGTTCCTCAGTCAGTCAGTCAGTTCCTATCACAGTGTGTCATTACAATAACGTTAATCGTCCATCAGAAAAGCTTTTCTTCAGCAGTATGTAAAGTACGTTTGTTTGAATTTAAATCATGGTAGTATATCATTTCAAGAAAACTTGGTTTTTATTTTGTTATATATCGAAAATTTCATCTTTCTATTCCCGAGCAATAAACGAAACTAAAACTAGAAATGATTCGCTGCTCATTTCGGTGGTAAGGACAGCCAACGACTAGCCTCTTTTAGAATATGGACATCCTAAGCGGTTTGCCCTTGATATGCCATCATTCATAAGAATTTTTTAAAAAAGATGGATAGTGGATAACAGTCAAATGCAGCACGGGGGTTTCGTCTCATCTGGGACCAGTCAGTTAGGTGTGCCTGCATCCTAAATGTTCATGTCCATTTGAAAAAAGTTGAAGTCCAAAATCTAGAAAACTTAAACCTTTACAACCAAATTATAATCCATTCACACCAAACAAACCACATTCTATATGAAATCAGTGGCAATGTGGATATGTTTGAAGCAAGTCACTAAATTCGATTTTCAATGTAAATCTGAACCAAGAGTCACGGGTACAACTAAGCGATAATTTCAAAAGAGGACGCAAAATCTGCTCTGGATTTCAATGCTAGCCACTTTCCAGTTCTGTTCTGAAAGTAGAAATATTAGTTTTAAGAGTCGGAATAATTAACCTTTTGTCTTATGTTGAATAATACATAACGTTTAATTCTTCAAGATTTGGCCAATTATAAGTTAAAAATAGTTGACACCAAAAGAGAAAGACTTTCACTTTTATATATTATCAAAAAAAACCATGTGACAAGATAATACAGATATACAAGTGGTATTTATAAAGTAGTTTGGCAATCGAAACAATTAATGTTATACAGACGGTTCTGATTTCATTTCGGTGAGCAAAAATGTTTTACCGTTCATAATCTTTTTCAGAAAAAACAATTTAAGAAAAATTAATATGAATATGAAATGATCACTATTTTCAAACCATTGTAAAAGAAACCTCCAATGAATGTGACACGTTTATGAACAGTGAAGTATCTTTGAAAGAGATCACTTGCTTTCGATTACCGTCATTATGCTCTCATAGTTTTGCTACCTTTTACCTGTCGGGATTAATGTGTGTGTAAAAAGAAACTTTGGTAATGAATAACTATTAGCTTAGTTCATAATAAGAAACTTAGCCTGTAGAGGAAATTCGCTCATTATATACTGTTAACTTAATGCCAGAATGGTCCTCAGAATGGTCGGTCAGTTAACACTTTGATCAGTCATAGAAGTTAAGGGCCAACCGACAAGAACCTTTGTTATTTTATTCTCCTTCACGATGCTTACTTTTATTAGTGTGCACCCTTTTGCTGGTCACTCTTTTGATGCTTGCATTTATTAATAACCGTTCTTTCAATAGTCACCCTATTGCTCTCACCCTTATGAATGGCGATACAAGATGACAGACTCATGATGATTTGTTTCAAGCTTATTCACATGAGGAATTTACTGAGGATATACTAATGGTTTTATTTATAATTTTTGCTAAATAACATGGAAAACTAACATTTTCCCTTGAAACTTACTTCGCAATCGAACAGAAATTATATAATAATTTATACAATCAGTATTCAATGATAAAAATAATGGTCAATAAATAGCCATTTTGAAATCGAATTACTGTCAGTCATGTCATACGTGTATCAGTTGTATCAGTTATTCGATGTGAACTTTCTTTGAAATGATGAGTAAAATCAACTATTCCATGTAATCAAAATACATCTTCAAACATATACAGTAAGTACATGAATAAGTTAAATTTACTGCATAATTATAAATTATCATAAGATACAATCAGTAAAGAATAGATTACCTTGAAAGACTGAAACATATTTTCACTTGTTTCTATACACAGTAAATATTGACTGATAAAAACAATAATTATCATGTCATCAATCTATACAATTATATGCAATATCACTGTACCATCACTGCTTATGGTATATTCTACTTTTTTATTGGAATCGAGTTATCGTGAGTGGAACAATAATGACGAAACAAAGCAGTAGTTGGCACGACGTTCGTTTTTGATTTATCTGTAATAAAAAAACGGAAACAACAGATATTCAAAAATTACTAGTCCATTACCGGATTAGCAATATCTCAATGATGTGTTCATAAACGTATTCAAAATAAAGCATCATGCAACTAAATCAAATTTACATGCTGACGAAAAATGAGAATTGTTTTACTTTGTATAGTTATAAGTTACGGCCTTTTGGTTGATATTATTTATTTGGCAGCTTCAGAGTACTTCTCCAAAAAGTCTATAGGGGCTGAGGAAGTGCTTGTGAACGTTTTATCCAGTCAGTGTTGCATAGAACCTTCATAGAAGCATCCGGAAAAGGTAGAATCATGTTCCATGGTTTTGACTGAATATTAATCTATTCCTTTAATATTTCAGCATGGTTCTGTAAACGTTCAGCGGCTCAAGGTCATATGTAACTTCATAAATACCCTCACTTATCTGTACATGAACCGACTTAGGGGTGAAACATTCTTTTCTCAGTTCACACCTGTTCTCCTATGTTCAGGTTGCAGAGTAGATCAGAAGAGGTTAAGAAATCAGACAACGCTTTCATTTAACAGACTTATAGTAATTGTTCATCGATCAATTTTATTCTCAGTAAAACGATCAAAATCTGTCATAATCGAAATCTTCGGTTTTTTTTGGGAAAATTACCAAAGAAATTGTGAAATTTTATTAGAGTATTCGTTCGTTAGTATAATCCAACAATTCATGTGGATATTCAACAGGATACTGTTCAAATTAATGGTAACAAATTATCAAATATGTACTGTAAGATAAGGGCTAATCAATCCGTTATAGTTGTGAACGTTACGTCAGTCACATATTTCTTGATATATATATATATATATATATATATATATATATATATATATATATATATATATATATATATATATCGAAAGTTAAAGACTATTACTTGACCGCTTGATAATACCGAGTTACGATATAAATTAGCTCGATGAAAATCACTCGGCTGAATAATTCACTAATACCGGCTGAGTGAAATGTGCATACTTAAACGAATTCCATGAATCTAATTGTATAACACTAAAGTTACATTTAATTGGTATGAGACGTACACTTAGGGAAATTATATTTCAACAGGATTATTTTTTATATACTAGATAAGAACTTTCGGTGTTTTTACTAGTCAATTTTATTCTGCTGAACGTTTACTATTCTGTATCATGCTAAGAAATTTGAAGATCAGAATGAAAACTTTACTACACTGCAGTTTGTATCAATGTTCGACACTATTATAAATATTGTAATATTGTAAATGACTATCTTTCTTTCTGAAGTAATCAATACTTCACATAAGAATATCACTTGTAATTGTATAATTCATGTATTTATTTATTAAGGATACAGGTAAGAAAATGCTACACCTTGAGACGAGTCAGTATAGTAATATTAACGTTTGCACTTATCACTTCTAGAGGAAAAACTTTATTTACTAAGCTACTACGTTCAGATGACTGCTAACCTATTTCACGGGCGTGAAAATGAAATTAGGAATGACCTATTCACCCAATGGGAAGTACTTAAAACCGGTTCTATGTTGTAAGAACTGAAAAATACATTATCTTCCAATGAATCAATATGATGGTTTGAAAATCGCCCTAATACACTTTGAAACATAACTTTCGACATGCGTTTATTTTACTTAGAAAATGCATTACTTTCGGCTTGTAAATCTTTAGACACTTCTGTCTTATACACTGTAAGACGAACATTTATCTTAAATGCAAAACTTTCCTTATTTTACATAATAGTAACAACAATTATTGTTTAGTAATTTACTGTTCTAATTTTATTCATCTTAAGTAGGATAACAAAGTTATCGATGATATTTAGCTTGAAGATTGTGTTATTATGATTTTTATTTTCTGAGGAACCTATTAAGCCTGCCAAATTAATATCCCAAATTAGAATTGTATGGTGAATTTAAGTTTTCCGATGAATTAAAATATTTACAAGCATTCATATTTGGTGTAGGAAATAGGTTTTTTTCGTTGTATACAGACTGAGTCGTGTCAGAAATATGTGCTGAGAAACATGAGGTTTTCGAGATAAATATGCTTATTGCCGTCAAATCTTTGATGGATATGTTTAGAACTTAGTCTGTTACAAGTAAAATTATGAATTCTAGAAGAACTAGAAATCGTATAATATTGTTTTCTAAAAACGACATTTATTCGAGTTACTAAACAATGTTGCTGAGATTACGTCAGTTAAGATCAGTTAGTGATTTAAACTGTGAAAATAACAATATCTCTCCACAAAAATCCATTTTATCAATAACAATCATGTGCTCAATTGTGACTAGATTCACGATGTATTCCTGGAGCCGAGACTTGTTCACTTCAATCCGTATCGGGTTTGAGACAGTTATCCGTCGCGGTCAGTCGATGAGGCTTTCGCAAGATCATGGATTGACTGGAGTTAAACAAAAACAACAGTAGATACTGGAACGGTGGCTATAGGTTAGGTGTTCGAATAACCGAACACTGACATATTCATAAAATTTTTGTTGAGATTGTTACATCATTGATCAGACAAATAAAGCAAAAATAAATATTCGCGACCTTTAAGTATCAAACTAGCAAACACAATTATTTTTTGTATAAAATTTACAGAATATCTTGTAGAAACTTACTAATATCAAAGTAGGAATTTTAAAACCAATCACAATTCAAAATGAAACACCAGCTACTAACCTAACTAAATGTTGGTTTTCAGAATTTATTAAATGGAATTTAACATATTTTATTTCCCAATTGCTTGAACGTCTACAAAATAAACACATTCACATAGAATAATCCTTTCAATAAGTAAGAATACAAATATTTGTGCTTTATTGGAATAAAATAGTTAATCCAATAGCTAGTGAACACTTGCATGCAATTTCATAATCACTGAATTTCCGAAGTTAGCCTTTCACAGTCTGGTACATATCGCAACACACTAATAAAATATTATTTAAATTAAATTATAAATATGATATTTACAGTTCATAAGGAATAGCCATCTTTCGATTGGTTGACCAGCTGTTAACCAATCATTGTAAAGATTTCATTTAAACACTGTTCATCAAGGTAATGCGAATACAATATATCAGTTCTAACAAGTTTTGTTTAATAGTTAACTGTTTGTTTAATTACACATTTTTTGGATTGGCTAATTTGAAAACTATTTGAAACTACTTGATCAGCTTCTAGTTCACATTTTCAGATTGTTGTGTTGCTACATCATCTGTGTTATTGTTTGTTGCTATTGCTTATTTCCATTATTTGCTATCATGCACCTTATACACTTATTGAGTTATCAAATCAATTTTTCTCTCATTCTCTCATTCAGACATCTCTCTCTCACATGCTACATTACATACTTGCTAGACACTTTGTGTATCTTCAAGCTAGACACAAATCCAAGACAGATTGAATGTTACAAATTCTCGGATTACGGATTTTTAATTAGACTAATTAATAAAGTTTGTTTAATGAATCCAACAATTGTAAACTGTTTATCTGAGCCAACAATCAAACATCTGGATTGAGTGTGAAACGAATCAACATCAAATCATTCACATTAACGTGCCTAAGTCTAACAGGAATGTATAATATATTACCTTTTGTGGTGATAGATTAAGTATGTATCATAATCAATTGTATTGAACAGGTCTCGATACACCCTTTTAACAAAACTAACTAGCATCTAGTTTTTCAGTGGGTTTGTTATAGGGCTGACTGGTACGATAAAGATTTTGCCTACAAAAGTCTTAATAATACATACGATGAGACTATATTTGTGCCTTTTATAAATTTTGATAGAACTGTGAGAAGAGGTAATCAGTCTGAAAAATGTCATGTATTCGCGCCGTACATTTCGAACAATCTGGTTACACATATTTACTTGTCAAGGCATTTTATCTGAATCATAAAAGGTCAGTTAAATAGAAGTTCAAATAGACATGAGGTGATAACTGTAAATGAGAGAGAAAATTAACGTAATATCGAACGAATAAGAAAGGGTAGGCAAGTGTCACAATATCGTACGTCATAAAATTGTTTACGGGGGGGATTTAATTTATGAACACCCAAGGCTTATAACACCCCCTATGTGTACAGAAAGAGTTTGTTGTTACCTAGTATTTGCCCTGGTATAATCTTAAAGCCTTTTAATGTGACAGCTTCGTACCCTTTCTTATGCGTTCGATATTACGTTAATTTTCCCTCTCTCTTTCATTTACAAATATCACCTAAAGTTTATTTGAACTTTTATATTAATTAACCTTTTATTAATCTCATATAAAGTGCTTTGAAAAGTGTGTGTGACCAGAATGTTCGAGACTATAATTAATTAAATCGGATACGAACTGACTGTTTTACATGTTTTTAATAAACAGATAATTTCTAATGAAAATTCATCACATATTATACTGTTAAGTGCATCAACTGGAAATGCTTCTTGTCCATATCCTCACTAAAGTATATCACAAAGAAGTATATCGATACAGCATTTAAAGTATTTCAAGGGGTGGAATAAGTTAGACTGAAAATGTATCTAGTATTTTACAGGCGATTATAGATAGTAATACGTTCTAACGTGGTATAGTTATTTTGTTACAAATTTTATAGATTAGACGAATTGCTGATAACAATGGAATTTAGATAGCACATATCATCCCATCGAGACTCGTAATAGTCGTTGAACATGTTTGTACCTTTCTGGATAACAGGTTTGGTGTTTGAAGTTAATGTTACTCTGTTTCAGTCTAAGATATCTAAGATATATATCTTAAGATATATTCAAAACTTAGTTTGAGTTTTAGGTATTCCATTTCAAATAAAAACTTAAGATTTATTCAAATATTAAGTTGAGGAGAAACAAGCAAGAAAACGAAAGATTAGATCTAATACAATATGTAAAGTATGTACAGCAATTTTTTTAAATCACTGCACTTTCATATAAATATATTTATGTATGTAAAGTTTTTCTAAATAAGACCTACTTATGAAATCAGACGATAGTATAAGAAGAATTATAACTTTGAATAAGTTGATAATCTTTAATCAGATGAAGGGAAAATATACTATAAGAAGAAAATTTTATTTTCACCCTGACATTTATCCAAATATTAATTCTTGAGTTAGAAATTATCATTACCATAATAATAGTAATAATAACAATAATAATAATTACTATTATTAATATTATTATCATTATGCGTAGTGATAACAGCTTTTCAAACTTACCGAAAACTCACTCCCCACAAATCGTGAAATAAAGTTTGAATTATAATACTAGTTCAGTCATTGAGAAATATCATAAAATTAAACACTAATCTTAAGTACTAGTTAATAAAAATTGGAGCAAGTTGAATTTATTATCTTTTACATAAAATAAAACTAACGAATGCGATCTATTTCTGTGAAAATGCAAAATAGATTATTATTTAGTGATGGAATCAACTTATCATGGTCTATGTATATGATTATTCTCAAAATGAAAATTTCATTTTCCAATATTACTTACGCCTGTTACACCCAATGGAGGATAGTCCGTAGACTAGTGTTTTCCAACCTACTCTGTCCTGTGCGTCCCTTTCCAGTTCTGTCCTAATTTTTGTTTATTCTTCTCATTTCTGTATCCGTTTCTCGGCGTGTTGTGTTTCTTGGCATTTCTCTTTTCCGCAGACCTTCAGGGTTCCAAAAAAGAGCTCGTCTTTTGATGCAGTCGGGTGCTATCCGTAGTGTGTGTCCTATCCACTTCCAGCGCTTCTTCCTGATTTACTCTCCCACTGTAAATCGGTTTGTTCTCTCCCATATTAGGTTGTTGCTGATGGTGTCTGGCCATCGGATCATCAGTATTTTGCGTAGACAACTCTTGATAAATATTTGTATCTTCTGAGTGATGGTTTCATAGTTCTCCAATTTCCGCAGAATAGTGCAGAACTGTCTTGACGACGTATTGAAAATTCTGTATTTGGTGTTGGTTGACAGTTATTTCAAGTTCCAGTTGTTCTTCAATTGTACAAATGCTGCCCTTTCTTTGCCAATCCGCGCCTTTACATCTGTATCAGATCCACCTTGCTCATCAATGATGCTGCCCAGATATGTAAAGGTTTTTACGTTCTCTCTCATGCATTTTGTGTTGTATCATCGAATCTTGCTTTTCCCTTTGTGTATGTTGAAACCAACTGCTGCTGAGGCTGCTGCTACACTGGTCGTCTTCTCTTGCATTTGTTGTTGCGTGTGCGAAAAAAGAGTTAGATCATCTGTAAAGTTCAGATCGTCTAGCTGCATCCTGGCTGTCCATCGGATACCGTGCTTTTCTCTAGATGTTGATGTCTTCCTAACCGGATCGATCATTATAAGAAAGGGTGAGAATAAGCAGCCTTTTCTGACACCGGTCTTTACTTCAAACCAGTCTATCAGCTGTTCTCCGTGCATGATTTTGCAGTTTAATCCATTATAAGAATTCCGTATGACATTGACTGTTATAGTCAAGAGTCATATCAAATCTTGTCAAAGAGAATGTGAAATCTTTTTGCAGTTACTTCCACGTCTGACTTCATTGCCGCTGCTGGGATGTGGTCTGGTCCTGCTGCTTTGCTGCTCTTGATTTGTCTGATGGCCATACTGATCTCTTCAATTTTCGGTGAGCCAACATTGATTGAGAGGTCCATAGATGGTGATTCGATGTTGGGTGGGTTCATTGGTGCTTCCCAATTCAAGAGTTCCTTAAATTGCGCTACCCTACTGTTTCGCTGTTTTTCAGTGTAGCTGATTACTCTCCCTTTCTTAGTTTCATTGGTCGTTCTGCTTTACGATAGTTTCCAGGGAGATTCTTTGTCGTATCGTACAATCGCCTTAGGTTTCCTTCTCTTTCAGCCATTTCCATATCCCAATATATTGGTATACAAACGGAAGAATTAGATACTAGCACTTTGTATAGACCCTATGAAATAATGGTTGAAGTTAACTGTTTTCACTGTTTATGTAAGCTTTGTGCATCAACTCATCTTCAGTATTTCACCGTTAATTCATTCAATGAATATATTTTTGAGGAAGCATACCAGGTAGTCGGTCATAATAGTAATTCACACTAAGTAACGAATATTTGTGTACATACTTTTCTCTGTATTCTGTAAACAAAATCACTTAGAAAGTTTATTCGTGTTAAATACTGATTGATAGTAAGAAAAATGACTGACAAATCAAGACCATTTTCTGTTATCTAATATGATGATATTACTTGAGGCTAAACTTGAGACAGTTACTATACTACCTAGTGTATCAATATTGTGCTATGTGATTGCTAGTTTTCACTGAACAAATATATAAATTTAATCAAATTCATGTGGTCATGTCAAAATTGCTTTGGTTTCTTCTTCAAAGTCGGCACGATTATTTTTTAAGTGTTCTATTCTGTAAAATTTATGATATAAACTAACTTTACTAAAGAAACAGTAAATCACTTAGCCGAAGTATTGATGTAAACAGTTCAGTATGGTTTATATTTCATTCTACACACCAGATTACACTAAATAATACTTAGTAAAATCTGGAATATTTTCAATCAAAATACGATATCTCATTTGATTATTCGATTTGATCGATCTTTAACTGTCTGATTTATGCATAATCTTTTACCGTAATTTTTATTATGACTTAAAGATTACTTATCGTCTCTCCATTTAGATCTGAGCACGTCCAGCTTTTATAGACGCTGAATCAAGAAACTTTTAGAATTAGAAACACCAGACATCAGTTGATTTTTTTTATCCGCAACATCAATCAAGATCTTTCTATATTAAATATTTAACATGTAAACTTTTTCTTATTACGTATTTTCGAATCAAATTTAAAAGGTTAATGTAGACTGCTGTAGATTGGCAGTGTTGCATTCTCCAAGTTGAATAGTTTAGCTATGAGGTAACAGCTTCAATTAAAAATGAAAAGTAATGCTATTCTACGGAAGGGCAGTTGGGCTTTAGAAACATGACATCACGGAAATGAACAGTTTCGGATTAAAACTTTCCTCACCACATTCGAAATTGCACGAATTATTCTGTTTTGCTGTTTGCCTGAATACGAACGGATACCATCCAGTACAGTTTAGGGTGAATGCAACAGAAGTGTATAAAGATTGTAGATTGTTTTTGTTAGTGCGTAATTCCATAGCTAATTAACTAAATCAATTTTTACTAGATAATATCTTGATTTCTTTTTTTGCATATTTGGGATATATTAGGAAAAGCTAGTCTCCTAACATACACTTCAGAATATAAACAAGTTTAGAAAAAGAATATCTGTCTACATTTGTAAAACAGTTAAACTTTTTGAAGTAACCATCATATGATGTTAGTGTGCACTTTATAACTTACATGATCTACTGGAAAAACGAAAACAAAACCACGTGGCTTTTAAACTGTATCTTCTTGCCTCAACGTAATTAAATATTTTCTCCCATACATTTCAAACTAGATGTGTACATGCGTGAAGTGAAAGTATCAGAAAAAATTATGATTTATCAAAAATCATCTTAATTTTGGTTAATTGAAAAAAGAGCATTCATAGTCAATTGTTAAAATACGAGATTATCTGACTTTTCATTAGGCTTAAAGTTAGAGCATAACAGTTCTATCAGTATTTTATATTTTCTATGTATTTCAAGTTCATTAGTTAGACTGAACATGTAGAGTGATGATATTTTTGTTTAATTAGTAATTATTTTTATCAGATGATTCTATTTTCAACAGAAGATCTGGTAAAGAGCTTGCTAAGTAGTGTTTTTTCTTATAGGTTTACTCTCTTTATGTGGTCAATTTAATCAGGGAGAAAATTCAGTGATTTTTACCGTTAAAAAATGAATCATTACATTTTTGTAAATTCAGTGACTATGAAGTAGACGAATTATTGAACAAAGCAATCACCACTGTCAAATATTTTACTGAGCCTGAAAATTTTAGACATTTTACACACTGATATATCATATATATCATGAAAGATATAGATGAACTGGTTATTTCAAAGTTGAATGTATTACTTGTCACTGTGATTACAGCATTGACGAATGCAATACTATTCAATACATAGTCATTTATCATTATCAGTATACTATTGTATTTATGTAATGAAAAATAAATTATTCAAGCTATTTCATATCGTTGGTGTATGATTTTGCGGAGATTATAAGATTTTCATAGTCATTTAAATGATGGAATGGTGTTAGTTAGTTCGTACTAGGACGAAACGATTGATCAATACCTCCAGGTTTAACTAATGGTTTAATTCAGATAAGTTTTCCGATATAAAACTATGAAAAAAAAGTTAATGATTGCATATATAAAAGCTAAAATAAATGCAAAGCGCTTAAAGTTTATTAAACTTCGAAGCAATAGATATCTTTTTTGTCCAAACATTAAACTTCTCAATAGTGAACAGTCAAGATGTCGCTTGTGAATTTCGAACCTAGCACTTTCGATCAAGCGTGTCAACATTTAATCTCTAGGCTACTAGTATAGCACCGGCTACATGCACAGTTAAAATAATTATAAAATAATAGAAGAAAATCTTCTTGCTTAGACTGAAATTTTCGATTTAAAAGATCATTAGCACCATTTACAAATGGTTGAGTAGAATGATTGAGTAGAATGAAAATGTTGATATTCATTTGACACAATATTAGAAATGAGTCAGTTGATATCTAAAGTGTAAAAACATAATGCAACCGCTTTTGGATAAAAATGACAAACTAAAATAAAAAAGAGATAAAAGTGTAAACCTATCAAATCAAGTACACTTTTATTCGAAAACAAGCCACTATTACTTAGTAATTACTCCTGTTAGTAAAATTAATTTCACTTAGCAGCTTGACTGTAAGCTATTAAGATTTCGTTGCCGCATATTTATTAAAATATTTTTAAAACTATAAAGATACAAATATGAATCTATTCGTACTTAAGAAGAGCGGTTATTTACAGAGATAATAAATAATCTGAGGCAAACCAGCGACTTTGTCACAGAGGATCATACTCATGGAATTCAACCTGACACTCGAACGGTGTACAAGTCAACCAATTAGTCATATTTCGCAACCATTTTCCAATATGTTAGTGAAGTACATTTTTAACTTCCAATACGTTTGAATCGCACTGGTCGTAGTTCCTCAGAAGAACCTGAAAAATCTCCTCTAAGTGCTGGTCACGGGTGACGATATGATGAAGCATTCAAGCTAGATTTCAGAGGTCCTATGTTAAGCCTCTAGTTATTCGCTTTTTTTATTCCTACTCCTCCTCCTCCTCCTCCTCCTCCTCCTCCTACTACTACTACTACTACAACCACTACTACTACAACTACTACTACTACAACTACTACTACTACTACTACAACAACAACAACAACAACTACTACTACTACTACTACTACTACAACAACTACTACTACTGCTACTACTACTACTACTACTACAACAACTACTACTAGTACAACTACTACAACTATGACCTTTGATTTCAAAATATTTAGGTAACCTAGATAATATAATGTTTTCATCCTATTTATAAACTTGATCGTAGCTTACATCGACTATTCTAAGTCTCGAGGTACTTTGTCACCAGGCGCCACTCAGTTCAAAATTTATGCTCATGACGTCCAATTCATGATGCAAACTATCCAAAAAATCGCACAAAAATTTTAAACAAATCAACCTAGAGGGAATGTTTCAATTACTACAGATAAAATTAGCAATAATCATCAAGTGTGCAACATAATTCACTTTTTGCGCAATCACTGATGTACTATCTATGGTGTACTCATATTCGAGGATAAATAACAAGTTTCCGATTTAGCATATTTGAATAACTACGTTTTATTGTTGAGAATGTTAGATCCCCAGAACTCGCTTGATAATTATCTTTATTTCGGATTTATTTGGTGGACCGATCAGTTGACCTTGAGATCACATTTCCTTAGTCTTGATTGGTTACTGTGTCATTTTAGTGTGCTATTTTTGTGACTGTCCCAAGGACGTCTCTAAAGAGTAAAAATAAACGCAATTTGAGTTCTTGGATTCATTGTATGCTGGCTGGGTGTTTGTAGAATACAATTTCTACAATATATCAAGACTTCTTTCTGATGCCTCTTGGTCAAGGGATCAGAGTAGACTACCTGGACGCTGGTTCATTGTTTTGTTCTCGTTATTCGACTAAAGTGAACTCGTACTAGTTTAGCAGACCTATAGACGAGCGTAACATTTATTTTCCAATGAGTTTTAATTTTTGTCCCGCGTTAAAATGTATATTTTTGCTTTATTTAAACTGATATATTTGTTTGCTAATTAGAAAATGTCGAACAAGATTTTTATTTTTAAAATAAAATTACAAGCAGGAATATTGTTTTTCAAACCTAACTAACCCATACAATTAGATAGGTCAAATATTGACAGAAAATCGGAGAGATAATACGACACTGCAAATAATCGTAAGCTTTCTAAACAATCTATTAGATTTAATATCAGACGTAATTTTATGCTCTAATTGTTGGACGTTGTCATTTGAATATTTGACTCATGTATGTTCATGCATTCGTAATTGAAGCTTATGAAAGTTTATTAGATTTAGGAAACTAGAAGATTTAATACATTAATTCATAATAAAGAATTGAGTTAAAAAATTGCAACGCGATAATGAAAAAAAACTATCACGGAAAAATACAAAATCACTTCTCAGGTTAGGCAGTAAGACCACTGAGAAATGTGTCTGACAGACAAGGTATATTTTTCACTGGCTACCGACCAAACCCTTCACTAGGGTCCACATTGTCATGCGTTAATATTTATTTTTCCTAAATTAATGTGCATCTATCAGTTTACTTGCTCTTGTGCAGCCGGTTACAGTGGCAGCACAAAGCGAACTCTTTTTAAACACATCCTATGAGATTAAAGAAGTCAGTCATAAGCTCCATCTTTGAAAATCTAGCCAATTCTGACTCGCTAACTTCATCAGTAGTCCCCTTTCAAATCATACCATACGGCCAGAAGAGTTGGCCAAAAAGAAATACAAATGAAAAACTCATACTGCAGAGGCTATAGCTATCTACCAGTTGAAGCTTATCCATTACCTGTAGAAACAATATATGCAGTCAATCACTCATTCTTCCATGGTCTTAGACTACTTCTCTGTTCTTTCATAAACCATGAGTTTTGTTTAGTTGTTCATGGTTACAAATAAAACTTAACAATCTGCACAACAACCCCGCAATGCAATGACATGTGTCCACTAGTGACTAGCTTCGTGAGGAATCTTCTCTGAGTTCTAGTGGGAAGTCGTGACCAGTGAAGTTCAAACCTGTCCGGATGTATACAGGGTATGAGGTCGCGCAACTCCGTGGATTTGATCAAGTTAGACATTAACACCGTTACATACCGGCTCAGTGGTCTAACGGTTAGGGCGTTCGCGCACAATACCGGAGATCCTGGGTTCGAATCCTGCGAGGAGCAGGAGTCGTGGATGCGCACTGCTGATGAGTCCCATATCAGGACGAAACGGCCGTCCAATGCTTTCAGGTTTAACATTGATCGATTCATGGTTACGAATAATACTTAACAATCTTCACAACATCCCCGCAATGTAGTTGTTTTTGTGTTGATTTTTTATTTATTATAATTTCTAATCCTTTTCACAACTTCTAATTAGCAATCATTACAACTTTCATTTGTTCTGTTGTAGTGCCTCCCCACATATTCCAGTTCGCTTACACCTAACTTGGTTAAGCCCTTTCGATTAATTTATTTAACCAAGGCATTTGTATAGCAAGAATTCATATGTGCCATTCGTTCTTATTATTGTCTGGTTTGTATGAGCTCACATGACATGTCCCACTTGTCATTTGACCTTGTCAGTCATTCGTCGCTTTTATTCATGTGTGTGTACGCCTATTTCACTTGTCATATACCTGCCTTATTTTTGTCTGACTATATATTCTTAGTCATGTTCTATCTCTTTGAGTTGGCTCACTAGCCTTCTCCACATCGCTTCTTTCGCCCATTCGTTGGCATTGTAACCCATGGAGTTGGCTCAAAAGCCTTCTCAAGTTCACGTCGCTTCATTCGTTTTATTTACTGCTTCTCCGCTTCGCTTTGTGGTGTGTCCCGAATAAAGGTGTTCATCACTACGAGTTCATGTTCTGATTTATAAACGGTCAGACGTTATTTGGCAACGGTTGTTTGAACGAGTTAATTACCGAGCTTAAGAACACGCAGGAAATCGACATACTACACTGTTTATACTAGATGTCAGGCAGACACCAACCGATTATTACATAACTTCCAATATACGATTTTCATAAAGAATTCATAACATAATGTCATTTCAAGTTGAGATTTTTTATTATTTCACATCATTCTATTTTCTTATTGATGACTACTTTTGCAAATAAAATTTAGTATAAAATCGACTGTACAACTTAAGTGAAATCGTCAAGAAAATTTTGCTCATTGAATTGTCTCCATTCTTCATCAATGAAATAATATGTCTATCTTGTTCTTTATTTCAGCGTTGAATATTTCGTATGGTTGGATCAAAAATTATTCTATTATCTTTCTATTCTACCTTTTGTGAAGGATCAATGCCAGTAATTAAATGTTCTAGGCCGGAATCAACCGACCGATTCATATCACCTACATGTGTTTCAAAAATGAACTAGAATCAACTTTAACTTGATTCAGTATTTCTTAATCCTAATTTTGTCCTGAAGGTAATGTGGTAACTTGTTGTATTTGCTATATTCTATTATCTCTTATATTTTCAAATGTCATGATGACCCTAAGTATACACTTTATTTATTAGGGCGGCCTGATTAAATATCTAGACTACTTGTTTCTTAACATCAGAATATTTCAACAAGTTACTTCTTTTGGTTTACTTTAACTCTTCAATTATGTTTACTAATAGCGTAATCTGTTCAGGTGAAAATCTAAAAAGTTTACGAGCTACCACTTCACAAAGTACAAGAAAGTACAATTCGAGACATCTAACTGGCTGGCAGTATGCTGATTCATGAACTACTTACTTACAAATATTCCGTGCCAAGAATTTTATATTGTTCTAAACATCTCATAATTAATAAAGCAATTATTATTATTGTTATTATTATTATTTTTTATTATTACTTAATTGACATTGGTTTTCACATAAAATTCCTTGTTAACGATTGTGTGATCAGTGTTCCAACTAGAAAAGAGTTTACTATGTAACTTATCTTAAACAATTAGTTCAGTTGTTTTATTTAGCATTTAATATTAAAATATGACTATTAAAGGTTTCGTGCCTAATAACTTGTTATTTACGACTCAGTGGTTAAGTGTTTACAGTCGACATGGTGACTAGCGTGAAGTTGTTTTCTCTGATGACCATCAAGCATTTGATTGAACTGCTACTTTAATAGATTTTATCGCACCAGATCCTACTTCTTTTTTAAATGATCCAAAAAAAAACATATGAGCGAATTGTGTTGAGGTCAATATGATCAGGTTGTAACTATAGGAAAACAGTGGTATGATTTAGTCTAAGTACTGCTTATTTTGTCTAGTTTTGTCAGTACATAACACTTACTGGTCAAGAATACAGTTATCTGGTCGTTCCTCACCCGATTACTAGATTTTGATACAACATAGCAATTAAACAACTTTTCACGCTACAATTCACACTAATGACAGTATATAACAATATTGAGTAAACGTTTGACCATATGCAAATTAAAATCAAAGAATTAAGATGTCTCAAGTAGAAATGAACTATGCGAGAAGACCTCAACAATTCTTCAGTAGCCCGATGAAAGAAAAACGGTAAAAGTTTATGATTCATAATTGCAAACGAGAGATTAGAGATACAACATTTTGCCTAATTAATAGCTATACAACTAAAATATAAACAATAATTTCGGATAGAACAGTTCTAAAATTTCATCATTCTTTTAAGTATTCACCCCGTTATGGAGTTTCTTTTACAAATTTCCACATAGGAGATTCATAAACCTGGTGAAAAAGTTTGCTTTCAACATCCATTATTAAAAAAAAACAAAAATCATGCTAACCTAAGAGTAATTAGTAAATGTAGTGTAATGGGAATCGCTGAACTTCGTCTGGAGTCCCTCAAGGGCTACTGCAGGTCGCAAACCCCGATAAAGGAGGAGGATTGGGATTGCCGACCCCATCTTGTAGAAAACTAACTTGCTAAAAATATGCTGACCTAAAATCAATTAAACTCTGCCCTGGGAGTTAGAACGTCTTCATTCAGAAGAGTTATGACGTCTGAGGATGAAAACGAGTTCCTTCGGAAGTCACGAGACCGATGACAATTCTGACAACCAGAGCACTTCAATAGTATGGGCAGCTCGGAATTCAAATCCGCCCTCATACCCATAAGAGCTCACGAGATCAAACTAGTCAGAATCAAATGCCCCTATACTTTTTAATAACCCTTTTACCTCTATAAACAAGCATACATACGTTGCTTTGTCACTTCGGGCCGC